TTCTCCATATTTAAGAGTCTCTTCTGTTTTGTCCCCCTCCCTGTATTTATTTTTTGTTTCCTTTCCCTTATGTTCATCTTTTTTTTCTCTTAAAGTCCTCATATAAGTGAAGTCATATGATGTTTGTCTTTCTCTAATTTCACTTAGCATAAAATCCTCTAATTCCATCCACAAAGTTGCAAATGGCAAGATTTCATTCTTTTTGATTGCCGAGTAATACTCCATTGTCTATATATACCACATCTTCTTTATCCATCCATCCATCAATGGACATTTGGGCTCTTTCCATACTTTGGCTGTTGTTGATAGTACTGTTTATAGTGCTATAAACATTGGTATGCATTTGTCCCTTCAAAACAGCATACCTATATCCCTTGGATAAATACCTAGTAGTGCAATTGCTGGGTCGTAAAATAGTTCTATTTTTAATTTTTTGAGGAACCTCCATACTGTTTTCCAGAGTGGCTGCACCAGCTTGCATTCCCATAAAGGTCATTTATATTTGAGTGCTCCCTCTATGTAGGCCAGTGGTACCAAGCTTCTAAAGTTTTGTTAGTGATTTATTTGGTAATATGTTTGCTTTCTCGAAAATGTTTACTGCTTTTTTCTTTCATTTTTTATTTGAATCGTTGACTTGAGTATTTTACCCTGGTCCCAATACCACCGGCAAAGATTAGAAAGGTGAATTCTATTCAGAAATTCACTTATATTACTGATATTTTTCTTTCCCTGAAATAACTCATTACAGAACAGAACATTGACAAAGAGGCTGACTTTAGAAAGTTTAATTTTATAGTTCTGTGCTAGATTTTCTTTTCCTTGACTTTTGATCTACAGAGACCTGGAAAATGGTTGCTTTGAGAATTATATGTGTACAAACTAATTGGTTACTGTTACTTCTGAAGGTATTTGAAGAATTATTGCTTGATGCAGATTGGAGCATAAATGCTGGAAGTTGGATGTGGCTGTCTTGTAGTTCCTTTTTCCAACAGTTTTTTCACTGCTATTGCCCTGTTGGTTTTGGTAGGAGAACAGATCCCAATGGAGACTATATCAGGTAAATCAAGGGTGATTTTTATTCAGTTTGGAATAACTAATCCAGGAAGAAATTTTTATGTTTAAGCAACACTTAAGGTTTTCCCCACTTATCATGGGCAGCAGAAATGAGGAGATGGGTAAACAAATCATTTAAATGGTATTAACTTGATTTTGATCATTCATAGCTAATAATTAGTTTGTTATAATTTGCTTATAGTTCATTTTATTAATAGTTTTTCTTCCTACTCCCAA